GGTGGTGTTTGCTTAGACTTGCGACTTACCATTCCACCGAGAAGCAGGGTCACCCCTTTCCTTTCAACACCTTCAGCAAACTCAATAACTATCTTGAGAATGAACCTCACACCCTTTACTACCAACTTTAGGGTTTTGGGAACATCCCGTAGAGCTCTGCACCAAATAAGAAGATGCAGGGACTCTAGATTTCTCCAAGAGAGGTTGGACGGATCCGCTGTGATGAAACCTCCCATTACATCTCCAATCTCTTTGAAGATAGAGGGGCACCAAACCTGCAAGAGAACCAAACACACGAATCCACCAACGACCATACCCAAACTCCTATCTTTCTAGGCATCTTGCTGGTTTCCAACAAGACAGGGACACAGGTGCCTGTTGAACCAAACCGGAATGCAGTCCTCACAATCTGGACAATAGCCTGAAAACAAAACTACCAAGCAACACAGAAGGAACTCTTCTCGCTCAAGAACCCCTTCCTTAGAGACAAAGACCTAATTAAGAGCACCAAACACACCAACTAAACCATTACTTACCTCTCTCATAGACTCCCAGAGCAGCCATTATCATGTAAGGTTATGTTTGGTTTGAAGGAAAATGTAGGGAAAGGAAGGGAACGGTAGGAAAAAACTATACATAGTGTATAAAGGTTTCCCTCCCTTTCCTGTTCTTTTCCTACTTTTTCCTTCAAACCAAATACAGCCTAAGCGGCTTACTCAAGAGCCAAGTTTTGACTTCACATAAACATTGTATAGATGATTTGACTTTAATCATTCAAAAAACATGTTTGGTTGGGCTACTTTTGATTTTGAGCCACCATACTACAATTTGTTATATACGTAGGGGAGACCAAAGCTACCATCTTTGTAAACCCCTAAATTTAATGCAGGTGGAAGGACAGAGGACAGTCATCATCTTAAAAATTATTAATTAACCATTATCAAAATAGAAAGAAAAATAAAATATATCGCATGCGCCATTATTTGACATGCGTTCATATCAAGGGTATTTATGTCTTTCAAATCATTCCTCCCGACTTTTCTACGTCCTCTCTCTCTCTCCCTCTATAAATAAGGATTTAATAACTGAAGAAATTCAAGTAACAAAATTAAGATATTTCTTGTTGCTTTAATTCTTTTGGTTTCAATTGCTTTCGTCCCAAAGGAAACAAGGGGTAGAGAATTAGCAGTGGTGCGATACACAGGTGATTATTAATTGTTTCTCTATATTTTTTTCCCTTATTTTATTTTATTTCGCTCCATATGGGGCTTACACAGAACCAGCAGACGGGATTTGACCTCAAGTTTTCGCAACAACCAACAACAAACAAAAATCCTTGCCACCTTATCCTTGTTATGTTTTTGTTAAAATTAAAGCATCTTGTAACGGAAGTTGTTGTTTCTTTCTCCAATTAAAATTAAGCTTTTTGTTTCTCTTTCTAGAGAACCTTTGATGGTGATCATGATGATTAAAGAGTAGGGAAGTAGACTTCATTTTATCAGTTTTATGATGCAGTGAAGAGAATTTTTCTTATATCGGTTCATTTTTTTTTTAAGATATCATGCGTTCTCTAGGGATGACAATTTTTTCGGGGAGTGGCTTACTCCTACCCTGACCTTGATTATATATCTAATAGTAAGGCCATGTTTGGGAGTGTTTATGTTAAAAATAAGTTCTTAAAAACAAACGCTTATTCGAATAACCACTTTTAAGCACTTATTTTATATTGGACGTTTGGTGGTTTTTTTCTCCAATAAGCATTTATGACTCTTTTGTCCTTCATTTTCTTTCAAATTTTCAAAATATCTAATCCGAAGTGAATGAATAAAAGTACTTTAATAGAATTGCTTTCATAAAAGTGATTTCATAAAAACACTTCTGTAAAATGCTTTTGTAAAAGTATTTTCATAAAAGTGCTCTTATAAAAGTACTTTCATATAAGTGCTTTCATGCAAAAGTATTTTTATAAAAGTGTTCTCGTAAAAGTGCTTTCGTAAAAATAGCAATGTTGTTAAAAATAACAATACTGAAAGCATGGTTTTTAAAAATGAAACGGTCAGGGGTCCGGTTATCGATTCAAACGGTCCAACCGTTCGACCAGAATGGCCAGCCCGTTCTGACAAAAAAATAAAAAAAAAATTTAAAAATTTGAAAAACGATCAAAACCGTTCGAACGGTTAACCGACTGGTTCAGCGGTTTATTGACCAAAATCAACGGTTTTGGGGGAAAAAGCGGTTTTGGAGGAAAACGGAACTGATCAGGTGACCGGTTCCCGATTTTTCCAATCCGACCATCCGGTCCGATTCAGTCCGATTTTGAAAACAATGATTGAAAGGATATAATTAGTATTGTTTTGCTATACTATTATTATTAATTAAATGACTATATAGCCATTATTTTTATTAATTAATATATTCAATTTCTTGTTGCAGAAGAGAATGGAGGCAAACAACCGCCAAAGCCATATCCATGTTCTAAGATTTATAGTTGCGAGCCACCAGCAAGCCCTTATCCATGTTCTAAGATTTACAATTGCGAACCACCGTCAAGAAAATAAGAGATAGCTTAGGGCTTAACTTTCATGGAAGCCCAAGAAATTATCAACCCTCCTTTCTATATTGTTATTAATAATAAGTCGTTTGCACTTTGCAATGTAGTAGTAAAGTAGAAAGCAGCATAGTCTCTTAGCTTCTCTTATTCCAATGTTGTTCTATTCTACCTTTGATATATTCTACAAATTAAGCTATGTAGGTTATGTCTCGGTGCTCTCTCTCTCTCTATATAGCTATGTTGCTTTTTTTTCTAATATGATGGGTATCCAAGAATCGACGATTAGATGATTGGGGTTTTATTATGATATTGAGGAAATAGCCTTGCTTAATTATGAAATTATGCCTGAGCGCAATCGTACTTTCAAATTCCAAATATAACAAACTTCGCCAATTAACAAGAAATAAAGATTAATTTAGGTTTTATTGAAAGTTTTATAAACAAGATGCAAATGGGAGGTAATGACCTCATGCCAAAACACCTTGTCAAATATGCAAACTAATGTTCTATTTGGATAAACATCAGAACTTGTGCTTTTAAAACCAAAACTATAAATCCCCAAAATTAGATTTTGTATTTTGAATGTAGATTATTACATTTTTAGAATCAACCTTTACCAAATGTTCAAACATTTATTAGTTCAGTTTTTGATCCCACGGTCCAAGAGTTCAAAAATCAAAGTCTATACTATATTATAAAAAGTATGAATGAGGGTGTGGAACTTTTTTTTTATGAAAATGTCTATAATTGTTATTTAATTTATCTCTAATTATGAAGGTTGAAAATGTAGTTTCAATTAATGCTTTTTACCTCATTTAATCCCTCTCATTAACTCTTATATTTAAGGTATTAACTCGCATTCCCTCTTATTAAATTCAATATTTAAGTTATCTTTTCACTAATAAATGCTACTAATTAGATTTATGTCTAAAACTTTTAACAATATAAACTCATATGTTTTGAAACTTTCTCAAAAACAAAACCATTCTTTACCCATGTGATGACTAAGGAATTCAATCATCCAAATCAAATTGGTCAACTCGTGAAGTCATAGTTAGATAATAAAATTTTTAAATAGAAATTAATATAGAAAATTACAAAAAATTGTTAGAAAAAATAGACACATTTATGATATTTTTATTAATCAAATTAAAAGATAAGTGTAATAAACAAGAATTATTTTTATTAATGATGAAAATGAAATACATAATCTAAAACTAACCAAAAATGAAATTATTTCTCTATTTAGCAAAGACCAATAGTTCAACTTTTGGGTCAAACCTGTTAATCTTTAATGTCATAATTAAACAATAAAATTAATAAAATATAAAAAACACAAAAGTAAAAAAAAAAATACATAACTTTTACAAAAAAAAAATTAGGCACATGTATAATATCGTATGTTTATCATATTAAACAAAAAATAAGTGTACATAACAGTATTATTTTTACACACGTAGAAAAAAAAATTATAGAAAAAATTGAACACATCTATAACTCCATATTTACACTACTATTAAAAATATAAATAAGATTGTGGAACTTTTTTTAACTAGAATACCCATTTTTTGAATTTAATCCCTATTTAATTGTGATATTTAAAATGTAGTTTGAACTATAATTTTCACCTCATTCAATTCCCTCTCTTTAAATCTTACATTTTTTTATAACTGAAAAAAAAATACACTAAAAAGATAAAACATTACAAAAAGAAGAATCCAGCCAAGTAGGTAGGCTGTCAATGATACCCAAAACTTTGCAATTCAATATGAGGTGCTTACATAATCAGATTCGAATTTTGCAATCTGCATCTTATTAATAGTGAAAAACAAAAATATAAAAAAATAAAATAATATATTATATTATATATATATATATTTATATAATTCATATTTATGAATTTATAATGTATAGAAAATATATAATAAATATCACATACACAAAATATATATAAATATATGTATACTAGTCGATTCGGTTAACCACCAGTTTTATATTTTAGTTAAAAGAAACCAAACTGATACCTTTGGTTTTTTTTTTTAAATGTTAAACTGAAACCAAACTAACCGATTTGATTAACCAAAATTTCGGTTTCTCAATCGATTCGGTTTTTTCGGTTTTTCTTGCTCACCCCTAATGATATGTTTGCTGTGGTTTGTTGTCATTTGTCCTAGTGGTGTGTCTTAGTTTTGTTCTGCTGTCTTTGGCTCTTTGTTGGTTGTTTGGTCGTTTATTAGTATCCTTGGGATCTTGGTTGGCTTTTATTTGGCATGGATTAATATCACTTGGGTCTTGGGCCCCCAGACCCAGAATCCTTCACAGCATATTGGGTCCACCATTGATATCTATTGGGCAGAAAATTAAAACCAGTATGAAACATTATAACAGCCATGCCATGTGGTTTTGATGCGCATATCAGGGCAACAAGCCTTTGGAAAACCCAATAAAGTGCATCATCAAATCATGTGGTAAATATCAATATTGTCATGCCAATTTTCCATCTGTGCCTACAGTGGGAGCCTTATATAAGTAAATGTTTCTTTTGTTTTGTTTTGCTTGTTTTTTTTTTTCTTATTACATTAGGCTGAGCCTAACAAGCAAAGTACAAGGAAAGACATAGCAATCCAACAGTTACAGTAATTAGTAATCCCTTAAAATAACAAGGACATGCAGCCTTAATTCCCCGATCTCCTCCTCAACTCTCATGTCCATCGGGCACCGGAGACCACCTTATTTCATCCCTCTACTTAGTTCTTTGCTGCAGGCTTGCCACCCTTTGCCTACAAAACCCATTAAATGGCAAAATCATATCAAAACCAATTACCAGTGAACACAGAACAGGTTTCATAAGAGGTTACAATTAATTCCCGACCTCCTACAATCTACCTCAGCCTGCCACCGAACCATCCAGCCTGAATTAATTTATTGACTGGTTATGGACTATGGAGCCAAGCCAAAATCCAGGCCAAGTATGATTTTGGCTTGTTTGTTTTTCGGAAAAAGGGGGAGAGAGGTTGTTATAATTAATACTCTCTTAGAGGGTGACAAAGCACTTACCCACCACATGGATTCTCATGTCTTAACTAGGTAACGTTTCGCCTAGCCGAACATTGTATTTGTAAATTGTAAGTACCCGGGCAACATTTTCCCGGGAATCACTTGCCCGAGGAAACGCGTAACCCGGCCAACCCTGTTTGGCCCAAATGACCCAGTGATGCTATAATGTTTTTCTTGCTAAGCAAGTTCATGTACAATGGTATATAAAGCAAAGGAGTATATAAATTATAAATACCTTCTTTTTGGGCTCTCGAGGCTTCTGTTCTGCCTTCTTTGGGGCCGCCTTGGAGGCCGGAGCCTTGGCAGCAGCACCCTGACTAGCTTTGGCAGGCTCCTTCTTGGCCTGCCCAAAGAGTTGTGTACCAACAGGTTTCTCAGCCTTCATTGATGCCATTCTATTCAAGAGTCAATACACACGATTGTATAGATCACACAGGGAGCTTAAGAAAGCTGGCTACCTTGTTGCTCTCTCTCAAGTATCACCAACCTATATTTATAGAGTTTCACCATTGTGAGTTGTGGCAAGCAACGATAAAGGTGATTTAGACAAAATTGAGATGTCGGGGAATGGAATATTTGAAATGGAGGAGGTGGAGGGAAGATGAATATGGTATAAGATGCTTATTTAGTGTTCCTCCATCGCCCAATCTTAAAGCTTATACTGATGGGTGGAGATGGATTGCAGTTGCAGGATCTGTTTATTCCTTTCCAGTTTACTACTCACTCAAATGGTATAAGATTGTTAGGCGTTCTGAAACAGAAAGAAATGAATTTGCTTTTTTTGTACAAGTAGTAATTGTGCAAGTGTGCAACTATGAGGGGTTGTGGTTAACACTAACAACTCAACACTCAACCTTCAACTAACCCAAATGAAAAGATTGCAGTATTATTCAGATACCAGAATAAGAATATAATAAGATGGGCATACTTTATTCTGTGCTGCTGCATTATTTACCCTGTTTTCTGTTTGGATGTTGTTTCATTTCATTCATTACCCATTCCAAGTGTAACACGTAATAGTTTCAGATTGGGGAAAAAGCACTAAAGGTGTGTTGTGATGCCTGAACAGAGGAGCAGCACCATCCACTTGACTTTTCATTGATCCAGGATCTCTATTCCCTCTCCAAGAAAAGAAACCTTTACCCCTAGAAATCTGAAATTTTCAGAACTGCTGAATTTTTCCATCCACAGTCTATATTGGATCTGGGTAGCTTTTTCTTGAGCCCAAACACGTCATAGCAATGTATTAGCACTGAAACCATTCCATGTTTTCTCCCCACCAGATTCTATTCCATAGGGGCTAGACCAAGTGGTATGTGACTGTGTCTGTGTGTCAAGAAAGAAAAACATAAGCTGATTCCAAGGGAGACTTTGGATTAGAAGAGAAAAAAACACATTGACACAAGGGAACAACTGTTACATACTGAATGGGACACAACAACTTGCACACAGAACAATGAATGGGACACAACTTGGAGACAGAACAATGGTTACATACTGATGATGATTCAAAGGCGACACATTCATTCTGGGCTTTAACAAATTTGATAGAAAATAGATTTTGAATATCACTAATCAAAACGCGGAAAGGTACTCTGGCTATTTGCATCAATATTACAAGTACCAAGTCGGTTTCAGGCATTTCAATTAAACAGCAATTTAGACTTTACAGCCCAGAAGTCACACTCAACTTCATATCATCATTGCACTATTAAATTAATCCTCTATTATAAGCTTCCATTTATAAGCCCAGACTTGGCCTCTAATCCTTGGAGCAATGAAGAACAATGACGACGCAAGGATTTAAGGATAAAGAGTTATGCAGGTTTGTGGTGATTATAGCATGAAAGATGAAGGACAATGAAGAGGAAATCAGGTAGTGCTTGGCTTTCTTTCAATATTTTTCCAACTATTTGAATATAATTTAATGTACTGTCTTTTGAAGCTCGTTTTTATTTAAAATGATTGGGATTTAGTAAAACGATTGGGGGTTTCTTGACGTATAAGAAAAAGAGTTTTCAGGCATTTTTTTTGGGTGATAATGGTGAGTAGGGCTGTTCATAACAAGACCCAAACCGATCAACTCGGTCTGATCCAACCCGAGTTGGTTGGTTTTTCTTCATCATCGGTCAGTTTCGGGTTACAAAAAAACATAAACCGATGGTTCGGTTCAGTTTTGGTTTTCATGTGTGAAAATCGAAATCGAACTGACCCGAACCGACTTAGATATATATTATATATATAATATTTCAGATATTATATATATATATATCAACTTTATTTCAGAAATATACATATTATATATAAAATTTCTGATATATAAAATATCAGTTTTAACCCATCAAATCATTTTTAATTTTCAGGCATCCAGCCTTTGCTTTCTTAAACTTGAATCTTTTACCGTTTATATCGAGAGAATCATTCACAAAACCGACCCAAACCGACCATGTCGGCTTTACTTAGTACTGGATCGGTTTCGGTTTCATTTCTAGGTAAACCGACCAAATCGGGTCAGTTGGAAAAACGCCAATAAACCGACCCAACCCGACCCGTGAACAGCCCTAATGGTGAAAGACTTGAACCCAGGGGTGATCATGGGCTGCAGGACCGGGCTGGGCTTAGCACCTATGATAAGGGCTACAGCCCAGGCCCATCCAGGCTAGGCTGTGTGTATAATATGGATAATTATGGGCCAGGCTCTCTATGGAGGGTTCCCTAGTTTTGGGTTTCAGGGTGTGCACAGTTTATATTCCATGTTACGATTATTGGGTTTTCTATGTGGGAATCCTCTTTGAGATGTCAGAATCCTTGGCTATTTTGAGTTTGATTTATAGACACAGAGGCACATGCTATCGAACTGAAACCAACTTAAAACGAAATAGAACTACGGATCCTGATTGGAGGCTATACTAAGAGATTCTTCAGTTTCACCACGTCACCTTTGATAAAAGTTTTTCATAAATGTCACTGTGAATATTTTTCATTTATTATGTATTCATGAAACTACCTTATGATAGTCATAGTTTCAAAGTTACATAACTCATGACCTGATGCAACATCACAAATTACCTATTTTTCTTATCTATTCATCCAAAACATTTTTATCCATGCCTCTTAGAAGTAGCCAAGTTACATAACACCCAAGCGTCTCCAGGAATTGTTGGCTCCTACCTGGACTGAGAATTTGTCTCCAATCAAATGCATTTTTCAATTAAAATTTAGGGTTTAAGGTTCAAGGTTAGGGTTTAAAATTTAGGATTTCTATATAAAAACCAAGAGGTGGTCGGACGAAAGAATCTGACCATAGTAGGACTGAAAATATGCTCAAGCATATCCATTTATCTTAATAAATACATCTAGAACAAGATTAAAAGGAAATAAAACTATAATTTAGGTTGTGCTTAGCTTGATAAAAAAAAGAGAAGCAGGAAGTAGTCAAGGAGAAATTTATTAAGAAGTTCCTCAACTTTCTATTCCTCTCTTATTTTCTCAAATCAAACATAACCTCAAGGCCCCGTTTTCTTTTCGGTAAGTTATTTATCCGAGTAAATGCAATTACCTGGATAAGTTTTTCCCGGGAAACACTTACCTAGGTAAGTGCATTTACCTATATTCTTTTATTTTTCAGGTAAATAAGGCAATGACCATTTTAGCCATAGAAATCTATTATTAAAAGGGGCAATTTTGACCCATTCAACTGTTGGCAACTTTCTCCCTATGTGGGAAAGTTATTTACCCACATAGGAAATGGGTATTACTTTCCTGGGTAAGTGATACCCAAGAAAATAAACTTTCGCTGGTTCCCACATAAAGCTGAAAAAAGAACATGGGGTTCTTGGTCAATGGAAATTCCATTGACCAACTTTCCCCCCTCTCCAAATCCAAAAAAAGAACACCCCCTAAGAGTTTTGCTTGGTAAATGGTTATGCTCAGCCTGGGTTTGCTTGTCCCAACCCAAACCTGACCAGGTTCACCTCCCCCACTGAAATGAAGTGCAAGTTCTGTAACATCCATTATTGTCTTACTGTAAGTATGAAATGATATAGAGTTATGCTTCCAGGTCATGCTGTGGTGATGGAGATGAGAAGATTACAAAAGTGATAACGTGATCTGTTTTTTTTGTTTTTTGTTTTTTAATTTACATCACTAGGATATGTAGTTGAAAGTTCACCTGAAAAAGCAATATCCCAGTTGGTTGAAAATTAAAGGGTACAGTTCTTCAATCTAAGCCAATACTTTCAAGGATTTGCTCTGTATGGAGTTCCTTTTCTTTGCCAATGCTTTACACCACAAAAGAGATTTTAACAGAGAAAGAAAGAGAATCTTGCTGATTCTTGGAGATATAGACAACAATGGATCGATCATGTTTCGTAATTGAGGTTCCTCTTAAATCATTTCTTTTTTTTTTTCTTTTTCACCTTTATTTAAACTTCTTTTTATTGCAGAAGAAGAAACACTCTGACAAAATTACAAACATTCATTTAAAAAGCATAGACTTCGTGGGGAACTGAGTCCCATAACAGAAATTCAGTACAGTGAAAGCAAAAGCAACATGATGAACATTTCTTCTTTGATGCAAATAGAATTTACATCTGTTAATTAAGAGAGTCAGCTTCAGAAATCTCAGGCGGCCCGACCATACGAGCTTAGGATGATGCATGGCAATTTAGCCAAATTGGTAGAACATTTGTCTCATTTTCTGTAGCATTGATAAGTACACCTTCAGTCCCTTATCTCGGTTATCTTTCGCGATCAATGAGGTTGCCCAATCCTCAAGGCTACATAAGCAATAAGCCTGTATCCCACCAACATCACTGTTAAGGCAGCAACATCTAATCCCATGTTATTGATACCCAGATTCTTTACAGCAGGGAAGTTGAAGATCTTGCAATGGAGCCCAATCCCACAGTCATAATAATCATCCTCTGTGTATTGCACTCCAACCAGAAGCTTGTAACAGTAGTGACTAAAGGAAGTGTACTTCAACCAAACTATGAAAGCTGGAATATGTTGAATGTAGTATCCACTGGCTAGTAGGAACACAAGCATGGTCACAGAAGCTAAGGTTGTTGCTTGTTTCAGTTCCATTAGAATGGCGCCAAGGGCAAGGCCTAGTCCTTGAGACACTAGAACGTTGTAGAGAATGATCAGGAGGGTCAGCAGAAAGTTGACAGGGGAGGGCCTGAGACCACCCATCCAGTATGTGACAGATACAAAGATGGTTGGGAGCACAAGTTCCATTGGTAAATCCCCAGCAATTCGCGCAAAGTAGTAAGAGGATAAGCGATACATTCCCGATGAGCGTTCCTTGATTAGCATTGGCCGCTCTTGAGGGAAAGTGAATATGGCATTGAACATGGGAAAGAATCCCCAGAATATGGAGAAGAAGAAGAGGAGTCCAACCTGCCCAAGTTCATTGTCATTGGAAGTTGGTAAGAAAAGAGATGTAGTTTATTATTACATAAGATTATTTCTCCATTAGATTCTACACAAGTTAACAAAGAGAAGTGAAAGATTGGATGTGTTCATACTATGCTAATCAGACAGATCCACTGTGGCAAAGAAAAAGAATGGATATTCGGTTAAGTAATTAAGCTGCACTTAGCTCTTAATTTCATCTCCTTAGGAATTCAAGTAACCTTTTAGATAAGATATTCCTCTATCTTGAAATACTCTGTTTCTTTGGAGACACACACTGGGCATATTTATAGATATAAAATTAGCAGAAACAGTGTATCAGCTTCAAATTGGATCAGGTAGAAAAGATCAAAAGGGTAATGAGTCCAGTGAAGGAAGGGGAAAAGAAAAGGAATTGCAGAAGGTGACAAATATTCAACCCATAAAACTCATGAATTAAATTGAAAAAAAAAACATAATTAATATAGAAAGAATCATATAATTATGCCAATTTTTCGAAGGAATACCTGATCCTGTATGTGAGAAACGTCAGAGTGCCACCATAATAGACCCGAAAGTATAGAAACTGAAATGACCTGAAAAATCCGCAACCCTGAATAGGATTCATGTTTTCTCTCCTTCAAACCTCTACTTAACAATACCTTGAATTGCTCCCACCAGCTCGTCATCCACTGCTCCTCAGAACCTGAGAGAGTCACATTGGTTAGAATAAGCCTCTTTGAACATAATCTTTGGTTTGCGGGGATAGGGGTCTGGAACCATAGGAATTGGAATGGTGCATTCTGGTTCCAACTGTTTGGTTAGACGGAATCAGAATCTCATTTCCATTCCTAGTGGAATGGCATTCCCCCATTTGAGGGACTCTCTCCCTTGGGAACGAGAATCCATTCCAGTCAACTGTGGTTCTAATTCTGATTGAACCAAACAGGTGAGGGGAATAGATCATTCTGATTCCGATTCCAATTCCAAAAGATTCAGATTCTGATACCGATTCCAATTGTAAACCAAACAGACCCTTGTATTTTACTGTTTTTTTTTTATTTCTTTGTTGTGTAATGTTTATCTTTTACTCATCAAAGAAAATGTAGTAACAGAAGCTACAGAATGCGATTCACACCAAACCACTGTCTTATCAGTGGGTATCTGGATCATGTTCATGACCCGAATGATAGGGATTCTGGTCAGAATCTATTCTCGTTCCTCTGTCCAAGTGGGTCTGAATGGGCCTTCTTGTCACCCCGACAGTCATCAACTGATCGTTCTTTTTAAATTTTAAAGGGGGTGAATAAGAAGAGGGTCCCAATTATATATAGATGTCATGGTGGGCTTTAAGTTTCTGTGTAAATTAATTCAAGTGGAGTCATATTTCGCATAGATTACATGTCTAATACTGCTTGGGCCTTGGGCCCCCATAATTTGTCACATGTATATTCAGAGGCTATTTATTGGGTCCACCAATCACCATAGATATTTTATTGGACAGAAAAACCAACATGAAACATCATTATAGCCATGTGGTTTTTCTGCATATATTGGGGCCAAGATCTATATTAGAAGCCTTGGAAGGCCCAATCTGGCCATGGCCCAGCCCATATATACGCTTCAAGGCTTCAGTGGTCGGTTTTATAATTACATTGTAAAAATTAAAATTAATCGCTTAATCTGGCCAATAATGCCTAATTTGGCCCAATCCATTACACAGGGGAGAGAGAGAGAGAATCCACATACCCCTAAATGATGTTGTTCCTGCTAGAAGAGACTCTGAAACCTGAGAAGTGAGGCCCAACTCAGCCTTCACCATGCTATGTAGATTCTTTTTGTAAGATGATATTAGACGCTGCTTTATAGAATTAAGATCCCCATGGTCCGACCGACCATAATTATCCGGTTGATCACCTTGCTTTGATTCAGGAGCCACACCTGCACCTCCAACGCTAATGAAAATTAAAACGATGAAACTTTCAATAAAAAAGAAGAAGAAGATTCTATGAATCCATGACATTGGACGACATTACACGTTACAGATATAAACTCAATGTCTTCAATTGAACAACTACCACCCACTTTAGATGTTTAATTAAAAAACCATTTGGGGTTCGATTACTCCAACCCTGTTCAACCTTTTTTCTCTTAATTGATGATGACAGCACATGCCCGTGAAGCACTTCTACTGTTCATGTGAAGGAACATTCTGGCCAGATATAACTTGCTAAAGCAATTAATGTGCTCTGCACAAACGTATGGTTGAGGTTTAAAAAGTTCGGTACTGAGATTCATCTATGCATGTCATGTCTCATCCTCCTGTCATGTAACCAAGGTTACATGCACCACCTATACCCCACCAATCACAACCTACCAGAACGTCTGTTATCTGCAGTTACCCATTCCATGCTTTTTATCCTGATAAGTGATAACACCTATACCACGAGTTCATATCGGCGCCCCACAGCACATCCCGACCGTGTAGTGGGAATATTTTCAAAAGGACGCTGTGATGTGCATGTGAGGCGCTGAATGATGTGATCTCCCATACCCTACCCTTCAATTGTCAGTCGGGCCCACATAAAACCAAACCCTAAAATTCAGTGGGGTGTTGATCTGTGATTGGTGGTTACCGGAAAAGTCCGTAACCATGAACACAGGCCAGGTGGCCAACTCTTGAGGGCACCTCTACTCTCTATAGGAGACACTGACAGCGACCCTAGCCAACAAATTTTTAGGGTATTTTGGTCATTCCAGATCCTACATTCATATCATTTTAACCTTTTTCACTCGGAAAGAAAAAAAAAAATCAAACAACCAGGAGATACTAGAGGAAATGTGCATACCATTAGCAATATCTAGCAGAAAATCGGCGGGATTGACAAGATGAGCCCCCGGCGCATAACCGATAGAAGCAAAATAATCCAACGCCCGAAACGCACTACCGCTGTATATCGGGTACCCATCCGATAAAACCACCACCTTATCAAACGACCGAAACAACCGACTCGAAGGCTGATGTATCGTCGTGACCACCGTTCTTCCGCCCCTTGCCAGCCCTTGCAATGTTGCCACAATACGCTGTGCCGTGGTGGAATCAAGCCCAGAGGTTGGCTCATCCAGCAACAAAAGACTAGGGTTCACCAGCATCTCTTGCCCGATACTCACCCGCTTCCGCTCGCCACCCGATACGCCACGCAATAGAGGTCCACCCACGATACTGTTACGACATATCATCAACCCAAGCTCCGCGATCACTAATTCAGCTTGCTCAACCTTCTCTTCTCTTGTTAGTTTATTGGGTAACCTTAACAGAGCGGCGTATGTCAGCGTCTCCAGCACAGTGAGGTGGGGATATAGAACGTCGTCCTGTGTCACAAACCCTGTCTTACGCTTAATGGAGCCGGAGAAGGGCCGACCATTGTACGTTATGCTGCCGGAGAACTTTCCTGGAAGCCTGCCTGCAAGGGCTGTCAAGAGAGTGGTTTTACCGCTGCCCGATGGGCCGAGCATTGCTAGGAGCTCGCCCGGCCGGACGATCCCTGTAACCCCATTGAGTATGGTACGTTCAGGCTTGGGGTCCGGCGACGAGAAGCAATATCCGTCGGACTTCTTCAGCTTTATACTATAGACCACATCTTCAAACTGGAAAAGAGAGAAACCATGAATCATGAATGTGCGAGCACAGTTAGCTAGAATCCAAGGATCCATACAATTGATAATTCCAAATTCTAGCTGGGTACTGGGTACAAGTAAAGCCATAATTGATATAACAAGACATAAGATTACCTTGAGGGTGACAGGGCGCAACGATCTACGTAGAATCGAGCACTCACCCATTCTTGCCTTCAGCTGCTCGGCCATCCGATCCTCCAAACAGGGGCTGACGTTACTGGACAAAGCAGGCAGCTCAGCGAGAACAATATTCGACCCACTAGTGGCTCTAGTCTCTTGCTCAGGGGGCATCATCTTCTCTGCAGACTAGAGCAGTGACAAACAGGTGGGCTTATGACAAGTATGAAGTAATGAGGTTAATTTCCACCCCTTGTATATATATGCAGAGAAGCCAGAGGTGGTGGTGGTGGTGGATGGAAGAGTAGAAGAGGATCAAGAAAGAGAGCTTAAATGCCCTAATTAACCCCAGTAGTAGAGCTGTAGAGGGTCACATGCACAAACAGGACACGTGAGCTTTTTAAAGTGAAGGAAGGGGCACGAGATCAGGTCATCTGGTCATCAGGTCCGTCTGACTCATAAGTCATAACACCAGCCTTGAGAAGTAGACGAGAGCAAGAGAAGCATGTTGCACTGGAAGCATGGAGGGGGTAGGGAGATAAATAAAGGGAATGGATAACATGTGCTTTTCCAATTTTCTCGGTGACCCCCCTGACCCGCTTAACTTTGGTCTTTGGGTCAGGGTTTTGAATCTTTTTTGATAGTTTAGTCATTAGTGGCTGTGGACAGACCCGAACCGAACCGACCCGGGTACAGGCCACGGCACCTTTTTCTGGTCCATGTAACCTTAGATTTTAGTTATTTTCATTGGACGGATGGTATCTCTACTTTTATGGGTGTCCAAACTCCAAAGCGAAAGTGCTGGGTTCCCTCTCTGACTTTTCTACGTGGCGTGTGGTAATTCCAGAGGGAGATAGTGGCCAGGATCGTGTCGTGTTTCCTGAAAAGGCCGGGTTCAAGGTGGTGTCAGCATCAACGAAAGTTCATCCCTTCGTGCTCTAAATAATATATATTGGAATCAATAGTAGGCACCCCTCCCCTCCCCTTGTGCTCCTATGCAAGGAAGCCGGAATTTTCCTCTCCGTTATTTAATCCACTGAGTCAAAAAGATTTATTAGGTAAACTCATTGGATTTTTTGTGAGAATTACAATTCATAAGATTGTTGATGATGATGTTAATGTCGTGTTCAGTTTCTATTGGATGCAAACACATGACATCATAATCCATTTTAGACACACTGGTCCCACTTCTGGTTTCTGAATTCTGATTAATATTGTTTGAAAACGATCACAGATAAAATGGTTTAATTGGTCCCAAGTCCAAACCCAGCCAACTCCTGTTGAACCGACTGCCCTAAAATACAGGAAATGAAATGATTTTCCATCCAAAGACAGAATTTATGCGATCAATTGAGTAAGAGTTGCGGGAATTTCTCCAAGTGTTTGATAAAACGTTCCAGTAGAGTGTTGTATGTCTACCAGTTGCACAATCATCTCAAGACATGAAAAGTATGTACCAAATTTTATTTTATTTTTTTAAGTTAGCCTATAAGACGTACCCCTTTCATTGTGATAAGCTAATTAGTTCACTAATCACCTGGAGTTTATGCGTTCGATCGACGTCAGCTTTGTCTACGATTTGGCTCATCTACACCTAACTGTTGAGTCACTGTATTTAGTTACATATCTGTCCGTTCATAATCGACCCCATTGGCACAAATTAAAGGGTTCTATGATTATTAGTGTTAGATTAAGTTGGACGTAATAAATACTTGTTTATTCCTATACCAAGTATAAAGAATTTATGCCTTTTGTAAAAAGATCAGAAATTAAGATTGTTCCATTGCCAGCACAACGCTGTAACCACTAATGCCTGTCTTAATCATGCTAATTTGGATATTTTAGGCTGTTACGGAGTAAGGAATATAATATTGCTAAAGAACATCTCAAAGAAGAAAATGAGGGTCCAAACCTATAGCTATAGGAATCTTCCGACCAACTAAAGTAATTTCTTCTTTTCCTTCGGAAAGCAAATATCTTCATTGCCGATTACAGTGAGCAATATTCAATCCATCGGGTTCTTTTCCTAACTTTTGGTTTGATCGTCATCCACTCCGGAACCTGTGCTACTGTTTTTCCTCATCTGCTTCCAAATTAATATTTGATCTCATCGCTTCTTATTCTTTATCACTCTATGTAAGCTATCAATTTTGACATATATGAACCAATTTAAGTTAATTAATCATCTTAATATATTAGGTGAACCGTTTAGGAATTGGTTGGCTTAAAACAGTTAACAAGGGTTGCCTACATTAAACCAGATTATTGGATGGACCCACCATTCTAGGTGAAGCATATCACAAGACATTAGGTTTCACTTGTACACAAAATTATGAGAAAGAAGGTCTCATTGGTACATAATTAAATAGGCACTTAACAAAGCACCCAAATAAGAAACCCACCCAAGTAGTTGCCAACACCAACAAGGAAGCAAGCAGAGATCAACAAGCAAGAGTTCAAATTGAAAAGAAAAAAAAAAAGGAAACCTTAATTGGCTTATCTTGCTAGCTATGAGCAGATTTAAGGGACACAAGGAGATTGCTCCAGCCCAACTTATTTTGCGTTGGGTTGCAACAAAAAACGCACAACATACAGTAGAAGAGATGGGACGACCGACCAATACTATTTTTCATTTAGTGGGTAGCACAAAGTGTGCTTACAAATGTTCTCTCTCTCTCTCCATAATGAATAAACTAAAATGAGTCGACTAAGGTCGCTATTATAGTACAGTGAGTGAACTATTAGTGATTTAGTGGTTCAATTTGGGTTGGCCACCCACTATCGTGGAACATTTTGAGCATGACAATTTGGACGGTAGACCGTAGAAAGAAGCAAAGAATTAGATGGATCAATCTTAAAGCTTGGCAATTATATAGCATGCTCGAGAGTGCATGGTTCATGAATGTTCATCTTCCGAACCGAAAAAGATTAAGAAAAATGGGCCAAGAACAACTAGGAATTTCAAGCTGCATGCTGCTCTATCATCTCATCTGAAACTCTATTAGAATGCGATTCTTTCAACTCCTCCACATGTTCAGAATTATTTGTTGGGGGGGGGGGGGGNGGGGGGGGGAGCTTACGTGTCAATATCGAGCATTGACGACTTTGCATTATGTGTAATCACCAGTCTGGAATGTTCTATGAATTGGGTCAACCTAACATCATAAGGGTATCCAAAATTTTCAAACCAGAAACTAATTATATTAATGAAAATGGAATAGATGGATTGATAACGAGATTTATGTTATTCATTGAAGTGAATCACCTACAGAATATATATATATACATACAGAACCCCACTTTGTTATAGACCCGGACCAGTGGCCCAGAAGGGTTTACTTCAATCGGACCAACCCGGCTGAATAGTGGCATCAGAATCTGATCCTGTAAACATGCGATACATAGTAAGGTCCAACAGTTATATATGAAGGGAAAATGTTTTGGAAAAGACTCCAGTAAAATAAATTGTTTTATTTATTATAAAGTGACGAGGAAGAAAAAATAACTTCAAAAGTTGCGGCTCCATATCATGCACCACGCGCACCCACTACTATATATTGTATTTGCACTGCATTGAGAAGCAAAATCAAAATCTACTACTAAATTAAGATAAATAAAAATTTAATGAATTAAAGATTGCGGTGCATTATTGTCCGTCCATGTGCATTTTGCACATTACCACTCAAACTCATTAGCATCAGTTGCAAATTTGCATAAGCAACATAAGCTTTAAAAGAAGTGTATATTTGGGTTATTTGCGGCTCGTCGATCGGTGTGGGATGATAAAAGTCAATAATAGAGATGATTATGAACAATTGAAGAGACAAGTGGTAAACCTAAACCTGCACTGATCCCAGGCTTCTCTCCATTTAATAATACAATCGTTTTCGGGTTGAGTTGGGTGTCGAACCCGACCCGATCCCACCACCACACCAGACCAGACAGGTCTTAGCCTCTTAGGTCTCACCTAATCTTATTATTGCCTATGCCAAATTTGAGCTTATAATTAATCAAGCGGTCTCCATTGTTTTTTCTGTTTCCTTCTGGTAATTATTCCTTTCCTGTATTAACTAAACATATATATGTATGGAACAAATGGATGGATAAATTTAGCATTCTCCAGATAAGTTATTGGGTTTTTACCGACTCCCCTCACATAAATTTTTATTGGTTAGTTCAGTTGATAATAGTGGCAAGTAGGGAAACCTAATAAAACACAAAGAGGATATGTATCATAAATAGGGGTTTTGATTTGATAAATAAAACCAAAAAATCAATAAAAATTGTAAGGTGGGACAACCGGACAAACCATAAATTTATGGTATAGAAAAATAAAACACAAATGGGCAAACTGATTTCAAGCCCGCCCAGCCCAATTAATTTCTTAAGTAGAGCTCACCATCTGGATCTCATGTCCACGGAAAATCGACCATGTGCTACTACTATATGCATGTAGCCATGCAGGTTTCGGTTAGACCCCGTTTGAATTAAAATTAGTTTGATCTGTTTGAATTTGAATGGACCAATAAGACACGTTGAATTAGATCGGTTTAGATTTAATGGTTCAAAATATTTATTAGATTGAATAGGACCTGATCCATTTGTAATGAATTATATCGATGAACCAACATTCATTCCATTGACGTAAGATAAGAATACATGGACCAGGTTTGGATTGGACTTAATTTAAATTAAAACCAATTTCAACAGTTTGGACAGTCCAGAATGATCCAAACTCCAAAGTATTCATTGGAGGATTGGGATTGGTAATTGTGGATTTCTGATTCTTCACTTTCCACACGTCAAACTTCTATTGCTGTTTCAAAAAGAAAGAGAATTCCAACCTCCTTGCTGGTTGCCATAATAGCTCAGAAGAGGAGTGGGAGACTGGGAGCAATAGTCAAAGGCACGCGTTCAGGCAGGCAGGGCCACATCATTGATGACACGTATGATGTGTCACGTGGTGCTTTTGAAGGTTTTAACTTAAGTAAGCTAAGTAGCTGACGTGTTGACCTCATTTATTTTCTTCACCTTTTTTCTCTTTCTAACTTTATTTATGCCTCTTGAGCTATTGCATCCTTGAACCTCCAAAGTGTAAAATAATTACGCATACGTGTCCCTTTTCATGGGCTAACCGTACAAGGACACGTGGGTGGTGATGAACCGGAACGGGTGTGGATGGATGCTTATATTGTCAGTCCCACTCCCACTCCCTCCATCGAAATCTAATGTCAAAGATCTTTCTGTCTTTTCGGTCGCCTACTTGTACGCTTGGATTAGGTGGCAGTCATATCATGTGGGACACGTGATCATATCTCACGGCTTTAAAGCTTTTTTACCCCCAATGCTCTCTAATTATTAACAACAAAGTACAGAGAATGAAAGAATGCTTGTGGAGTTGTGGGTTGTGAACTTGTGATCGCCTTTTGCGCCCATACTGGAATTTGAGTCTAATAGAGAAATGGGGCCCATAATTCTAAATTCTATCAAGCCCTTTTATGAAATCCATCGCGTCCATC